GGGGGAGGGGGAGGAGGAGGAGGAGGAGGAGGAGGAGAAGGAAGGTATTTAAAATCAATCCCCTAAAAGCATATGGACTGATGGGGGTTAGAGGTAATTCTCTGAAGAAAATCATGGAGCTTTTTGCCAGAAGATGAGGAATAGGTGCCAGTCCACCACAGGCATCAGATGTCCACTGAAGTGTCTTTGACCAATATTATTATCACATTATTCTGAAGTTCTAAGTTCTTCTGTTGCAGTGCTGTGTCCAGTCACAGTCTAGCCTTGTAGTCACTTGTCAGTTATATTTGGAAAACTTGTATCAAGCCCTCAATGGCAGAGTCCAGCCAGATGCACTTGAATGGCAATATGATAGTAGCAGTTGCAACAAATCAGCCTGCATTGGAAGGATGGAGGGGTGGGGGGCATGGTGATGAAAGACCAAAGAAAGTTCTCAGTGTTGAGTTGTGTGCTGGGCTCTGCTATGTGTGGACTCATTGATTCTCACAGTGGGCCCGGCGTAGATCTGCCATCATCCCTGCCACACAGAAGAGTGGCCCAGAGGTGGTTAGAAACATTCTCAGTGTTGCACAGCTACTGAGTGCTCCAGCCCCAAGACACCCTCTTTCTGCAACACCAACCCACTCAAACCCACTTGCTTCTCCCCCAGCCCTCAGGACAGTTTTCCATGAAGATTCTCACCCAGTAATTGCCTTTTTTTAAACACTGAGACTCTCCAGAGCTTTATATGTCCTTCTTCAGTAAGAATAGTATTAGAGTTTTATGCAGTTCAGAAAATTTAGTTCTGGGTGATCACAAACTAGACTGTGTGCTCTCTCTCTAAATATGTTTGGCTGTGTTTTTACTGTCAGTGACTACGGGTACATGTTTGTTTATGGAGTGTCTGAATGTTGTGAAATGTTATCTTTTACAGCAAGAGTACAAGAAGGACCTGGAGTCAATCATTAAAGGGAAGGGAATGCAAGTTGGCATCGACACCCTGGAAATACAGCGTGCCAAAAATGCTACCAAGCTAGCCAGCCAGGTGACTGGAGTTAATTGTGGAGATCTTGAACTCCTACTTTGGAACTTAACAAACCCTATTAGCAACTTAATTAGTTCATGGAATTCTCAGAGTTCTCTGACTTGTTTGATAGTTGGTAATAGAAACCATTTCAAAATCGTGTTTACTTGAAAATTTATAGTTTTTGCATTGTTCATATTCTTTAAATACATCAAAGGAAGCTTGGGGAAAGGCATTTTAATAGAATACACACTCATGGACATGCATACATGCAACATATTCCTGTACACTTTATTCCAAAGTACAACAAACCTCATGTTAATGTAGGTCATGATAAATGTTTTCTTTAAGATGCATCATGCTTGGCGTAGTTGTATTTCCAGCTTTCTGAGAACTCGAAAACCACATGTTGAGACACTAATATGAGAACAGTCTCCATTTCTGGGTGACTGTGAGTTCTTAAAATACCCTCTGTTGACCTCCTCTCCAGGCCTGGAATATCTGGGCCAGCATTTAGGATGCAGGCATTAGACATCCCCAGTGACCATGTTTATTCATCCAATACCATTTTTCTCTTTATGTAATGTATGTAAACCCTATTAATTTAGAAGTTTTGTCTTAGATGCTGTGATATGATGGATACCACCTAACAAAGTTGTAGGAGTCAAACCATATGTATGTTTTTCAGAGGAAATAGCCTATAACTGGCTCTGTACTTCCTTAACTTCCCCAGAGATTCTGAGGGCATAAGAGAATCACAGGAGGGAGAATGTTTTGGATGAGGTGGTTTTGTAAGCAGTGTATGTGGAAAGAAATGTGAGGTGTAGGTTAAGAGGTGACAGTTACCTCAAGGATAGTTAGGTGGGGGTTTCCAAGTGGCTATTCAGAGCTCTTCTGTGACTCTTAGGGTTAGGAAGAGCTGACTCAGCGTTGACTGCCACCCAAGGACTCCAGGAGGCCAGAGATGGCTGACTCACTGCCTGGGAATTGCTATGTTGGGAGCTGTCTGATTCCCAGGGTTGGGCACTGGCTGGAAATGAGGTAGCCATGATTGGTTTAGACAGAGGAACTGGAAATAGCATGCAACTATTAACCCTAATGGACAAGGGTTCCATTTGGAAATGGCAGCCAGCGGTGAACAGCAGGAGTAGCTGAACAGACTTGAAAACTCCCTGGTACCCCTCCTCTGACTCTGTTCTCTTCCTAGGAGAGAGCCATTATTGTAGGTTGTGGAGCCTTCCATATCTGTTTGATGTACATACACACGTAGCCTTAAACTTATATGGTCATACCATATATTCTGTTTTGTGTTTCTTTTTTCCCTGTAATATTTATGGGCCTTGTTCTGTGCCACTTCATACAGGCTAATGTCATTCTTACAGAAACACTGTGGTTCAGTCCCCAGTTCCGAAAGAATAAAGCTGTGCTCTCCAGCTTGGATGTGCGTAGGTAACCGTTTACCTTGTGTGTCCGTCCACACGGAGGATGTGTAGTGGGGTCTCAGCTCTTCATCCCTGTCTCCCATTTGCCTTCCCAACCTCATCACATAGGTCACCTTGATTCTTCTGGCCACCAAGTGTTATTCTCTAGCCCCATAGCGGTGTTCTGAATCCATCTACTCCTCACTTGAGTCTAAGCTACCATCGCCATTACCAGGATCATTGCAGTGGCTTCCTAATCACAATTCTCTTTCCATTCTTACCCTTTTAATCTGCATACTGAAACCCAGAAACCATAATCACACAACTGTCTGAAAGTTTTTACTATAAGAAGGAGCTTCTGTCTGGTACTACTGCAAGTTACTGGATTGGAGCATGGGGCAGCAGAATGGGAGTTCAGGGCTAGTGAAGAAGCCAGTTGAAAGTGTCCTTTCCCTAGAGAAGAAATATGGAGAGAGCAGGTATTTTATTTTACCCTTTTACCTAGGAACAGACTGTTAGGATATATGCCTTTCATAGGAAGTAGGACCATTTTAGCATTCAGATCTTTCTTTACCATGTTAATTAATTTACTTGTTCCATGACATGCTGATTTAGATTTCTCTTTGTTGTTTGGGACCATATACTAGGAAAACAGTGAAAATTTTGTTACTGAAAACCTAGGGGCGAACAGATTTAGAGGAGGCAGCTGTATTCAGGTTACATGTAGCTCAAACCAATATTGGTGATGCTATGGTCTCTGCAGTCTGAGTATCTGATTGGCAAATAATCATAGTCATGTCCAGTTTTGCCAAATTAAAAAGCTTTAAATCCCTTTCATCCGAAGTTTGGGACTTTGGGTGGCTTATTTTTAATATCCAAAGCTTATTTTTCAAGTAAGGTGTATACAGTACAGTAACACCTCAGTTCACGAATGCTTCTGTCTGCAAACAGTTCAGTTCACAAACAGATGCGTTCGGCAAAATTTTGCTTTTGTTTGCAAACTCTGCACTGGGTAACAAACATGAACACAGCCGTCTTCTCCACACAAACACAAACTCAGACATATCCCCAAATCGTAAAACAAATGAAGTTCGTAAACCAAGGTGTTCCTGTATATTCTTATGTTGCTGACCCCCAATAGACAAACCTTCCCACGTCTATGGGCTTGACCATGGGACTCGGAGCCAGTGGGACCTTAGCAACGTGACGTGGACAAAGGCTCTGAATGCACTTATGCGCTAGGGTTTGTTCTCTTGGAATACAGATGAACGTGTTTTATTAGGTAGCAATAACAAATAACTGATATAACTGGTGTCTGCTGTAGTCAGTGTGCTTTAGAACATTTTTAGATGTGACAGTTCGAATTGGAAAACTGAGTGAAAGACTTCTACCATGGAATCTTGGTGCCTGTCTCTAGCCAGTGGCTCTGGTTCTGCCTACATTAGCCTTCAAATTAAATGTGTGGTTTTAGGGCTTTAGATAGGTTTATTAAAAACGAGTGCTTTGCTCTGACACTATAATAATTGAATATTATTTTTGGTAGTTAAACATTATTACCTGAACTTTTAATTAGGAGAATGCAACTGAGCGTGTAATTTAGTAAAAACAAGCTAACTTATAAGTAGACGATAGGGAAAAATACAACATTTCTCTATGATTGTGAATTTTGTTTATAACTTATTTGAAGTTTTTAAATAGTTTTAAAAAGGTTGTTCAGAACAGCACAAATAAGCGAACCAGCATCTACCTCATAGCAGAGAATCTACAGGTCCTGAGCATGTCAGTATAATCAGAAATAACTGTTTAGAAGAAATGTAATTAGGTATAGTTCATGTTCTTTCAGTAATTTTTAAAAGAATAACTTATAGAAAATACACAAATAGGGCCAGGGATTTAGTTCAGTGGTGCCATCGCCTGCCTCACAAGTGCAAGGACTCCAGTTCGATCTCTGGTACCAAAAGAAAAAAGGAAAAAAAAAAGAAAATACACAAATGTAAGTGTACAGCCTGCTAACTTTTACTATCAATTTTAAAATGTGACAGGATCCCTTCAGATGTGTGTGTCTGTAATTATGACTGTTTGGTAACAGGTGATCCATTTCTCAAGCTGCCTTTTTAAAAAGCAGGCAATTTATTGTTCTTATCATTGAACGTAGACGAATCCTTAGGTATGGCTCCATCTAGGACCCAGATACAGTCATGTGCGACAGAATGACTTTTGGTCAGTGGCAAACCACATATATGATGGTGATCTCATAAAATTGTAGTAGAGCTGCAAAATTCCCATTGCCTAGCAACATGACAGCCATCCTAATGTTGTAGTGCAACATATTACTCTTGTGTTTGTAGCTATTTTGGTGTAAACAAACCTACTGCATTGCCAGTTGTATAAAACTACAGCACACACAATTATGTTCAGGACATAATACTTGAAAGTGATCATAAACGTCTACTACTGGTCTGTGTATTTACTATACTTCTCATCATTTGAGGGTATTCTTTCTACTTGTTAAAAAAGAGTTTATTGTAAACTAACATGCTGCGGTATGCCGGCAGCAGCCTCATACATCTTGTGTTTCCCAGAGTCCCTTGATTGTGTCATGTTCTCTTGTGCTTGGCTCCATCTTGTGTGGCTGGGTTCAGCCTGTCCCTGGAGCAGCAGGCTGGATCCCATGCACACCATACTTCCTGGGTGTGCTGTGGGCTGTCCCGTGGAGATTTGTGTGAATACACTCTAAGATGTTCACACAGCAGCAGAACTGCAGAGTGACACATTTCTCAGAATGTATCCCCATCATTAAGAGATGCATAGGTGTAATGTGATTCAGTCTCCATTCCTGACTTTCAGTTCAAAGGCAGGTTTTCTTCAGTTTCTGAAGAAACTTTCAGCATCTCCTAGGCTACAACCTTCTTTGCTCATGTCCAGAAGGAAAATGAAAGTCTGTGATCTTCCGCAGAAAAAGAAGTGTGCCGTCACTGAACCAGTCACTCAGGGAGAGGGAGGGACTATAATGATCTTAAGCCCCACAGGGCCCAAAGAATTGGGCCAAACTCATGGAAGCAGAATGGTTTGGAATGAGGAGCAGCAAGTTGCAACAAGTGTGGAAAGCAACGATTTACAATCACATTTGAACATTTGTCAGCCGGGTTATATTTTAACCAGTACTTATGGAGTTTATTGTATTGCAGTATAAAATTTCCCCCACGTCACTCTGTTCCTTTTCTTAATTCACATCTGTAGACAAAAGCCTCCTGGTTACTTGGGACTAATTCTCTCCATGTCATGTCTCTACGACAAGTTAAAGCTCTTTTTCTATTGAAACAAAGTGTCCAACTTAATGCAAAAGAACTAGTCCTGATGTCCAAATGACAGAACAGTCTTTCAGCAAGGTTTTGAATGATTGTAGGGCACTAACTGCATGTTTCATGTTCTGCAGAAAGACTACAGAAGAGATCTGGAGACTGAAGTGAAAGGGAAAGGCATGCAGGTCAGTGCGGACACTCTCGATGTGCAGAGAGCTCGGCGAGCATCTGAGATGGCCAGCCAGGTGAGGGAGTAGCAGGCACCACGCCTCACACAGAGACATGGTTGTGTCCAGGAAGAATACAAACGGGGCTTCCACGCAAGGGAGGGCCTTTGCTGCTGAAAACGTAAATGTCTACCTTGTTCTCAAAGCCGAAGAAATCACCGTGGTTATTTTCTGTCCTTTTAGAAACAGTATAAGAAAGACTTAGAAAGTGAAATTAAGGGGAAAGGAATGCAAGTAAGCATGGATATCCCAGGGATGCTGCAAGCCAAGAGGGCGTCTGAAATCTACAGCCAGGTGGGTAGGAGACGTGGTGTCAGGGCAATGTACTCTTTGCAGAAATTTCTTTATTAGTTTGTTTGCAGTGCATAACAGTGACATTCCTTGTGAGAATTGGTCCATGGAGCTAACACATCTCCATTCTCCCCCGTTTTTCTTCCCCTCCATTCAGTCTCCCTCTAGCTCTTGGTTTCCTTTCCATTGGCAAAAGATCTGTCTCCTTGTTTTCTATATCTATCTTTTTTCCTCTCTAGATTATTTATACTTTGGTTTCTCATTTCGTTTTTTTTTTTTTTTTTGGTACCGGGGATCGAACTTGGGACCTTGCGCTTGTGAGGCAGGCGCCGGAACCACTGAGCTAAATCCCCGGCCCTGTACTTTGGTTTCTAATATCCAATCCCTGTGTATTTTGTGTGACTCTGTGATTTATTTTATTTTTGAAGGCTTTGCATCCAGTCAGTGCTCTCCATTAGTAAGAAACCATTGGCCAAACTTGATTAAATGTATTAATTAAAAGGACAGCTGTTGTGTAGGTTCAGTTCAGTTTAGCAGATGTTATATAGTGCCAAAGCCCCCCGTTATCCCCTTGTTTTGAGCACAGGGACATTTGACCTTCTTTTAAATTTTTTATTTCATTACATACTTGGCTTGAATGTTCTCTGCTCACAGTCACGAAAAATAATTCCAAAGATTTGACTCTTGACCACTTCATAATGAATATTATTATTAAAATAATCATCTCCAAATAAAATAATAGTGGCTAAAACGGTACAAAGTATGAGGTAAAATTGAATATTAACTAAAAATTAAGGGAAGAGCTATTTTTATAGTAAAACATATTTAACAAGTACATACCTATCACATGGTCTCTTAAAAAACTGATGCGAGAGAAATAATGATCTCAAAGAAAATCATTTACAAAGAAGAGGTTATTTCTAAATTGACTTGGGAAAAAACTTTCATTAGTGAATACTATCTTTGCTATAAAATTTGCATGGAAAAGAATGAACCCTAATGGAAAAAATAGTACAGGAGAATGCAAAAAAGAAAATAGTTACAGCAAATTGAGAAAGAGATTGTTTGATTAATAGAATTTATGCTGAAAATTTTTTTGGACAAAATCTGGCTACATTTGTTAGAATTCTGATTAAAACCTAAGCAACAAGCCTAAACATCCTGGATCCAAATGGAAATACCAAGTTGGTGGAGTCAGAATGTCCAAGGGTGTCTGCTCCTCTGCCTGCCCGAGTGACAGCAGTTGGGAAGGGTTGAAAGCTCTGCTCTCTGTTCAGGGTCTCTTGCCAACGTATCAACTTGGAGACGCTGGCTCAGGCTGCATTCGCTGAATAAAATCCTAGGGAAACACAGTACACAGAATAGGCAAATGGACCTTTCGGCCAGTGGAGGAAATTTGCTGTCTCAAGAATGCCAAGCCTGTTCACCACTCGGCGACACTTCCTGAGTGCCTGCTCACTGGAAAGCAGACACAGTTTTGCCTTGGGGGAGCGTCAGGCCAATCTGACAGCCATGCACACGTAGAGTTACCAAGGGCTGCATCCCACCTGAAAGTAAAAGTAGCAGGAGCAGAGGCCTCTCAGAAGTGGTGCCCAGGCTGCCCCATGTCCTGCTGAAAGCCTGCGTGTGACACCCGCGGACATCTGACTTCACCGGTTTTAAGCACGGCAGGGTGCAGTGGAATACCGATGAGGATGCATTGATGCTGCGATGCAATTTCTCAGGGACAGTAGGTGCTTTCCCTTCGAGCAGCAGGATGCTATCGTGGTTAACTGCATTAGCCGGGGTGCCTGAGTTTAAATCCTAGCTTTGACACTTAGTATCCGGGCCTCAGTTTCCCCTTCTGTAAGATGGGGATGATGACATCTGCTTGGGGATCGACTAAGTCAGTTAAAATGTGCCGAGTATTTAGGGTGATGCTCACGTACTGAGTGTCACATACGCACTGGTGCTACATGTCAGATATTGCCCAGGTTTCACCATAGCTCCTGTAGACAGAAAATTGAAATATTTTTATCTCGAGTGCAAAAATGCTGGTACCTTTCCCTTTCCCAAACACATCTTTACCTAAATTAGGAAGCAAAGCATAGAAAAGCAGATACGGGATCAGGTTACTTCTCGGGTGCTGCTGGGCCATTTGAACAAGGACCATACTGGTCCCGTCAGAGTGGGTCCTACAGTGGGAAGGACGTAGAGGTTGCCCTCTGAGTGTCCAAGTGGACTGAGGCGGCCCCCGTAGTCTGAGTAGAGGTGAGGCTGCCTGGCTGGACTGTCAGCGTGCTGCCTTTGTTTTTGGTGTTGCATGAGCAGCTATGAGTTAGAAGATGTGATTTAGAGCCATGGGTTGCAGTAGAGTTGGAAGAAGCAGCGTCATTCTCTGTTTCTCTGTCTCTCTTATACTCACTGTTTATATTTTTAGAAAAAGTATAAGGATGAAGCAGAGAAAATGCTTTCTAACTATTCCACTGTGGCAGATACTCCTGAAATTCAGAGAATCAAGACAACTCAACAAAACATTAGTGCGGTGAGTAGCCAGGGGAGAGTATCCTTCATGGGAAATGAGGAAAATATTTTGGGTGTTTAAAGTTTTGCAGTGTTTTCTTATGTACATAATGAGATATGCTGGGGACGGGACCCAAGTCTAAACACGAATTTCATTTGTGTTTCATATACACATTATATGCTTGAACTGAAAGTAATTTTGTGCAGTATTTTTGGTATGCCTGTTTATTGACTGAGACCCATTCCATGGAGTTAGTTACGGAATTTTCCATGTGTGGTGGCTGAGAGACACACATAAAATTTTGAATTTGTTTTTGAAAACAAAAAGCATTCAGAGTTTGGATTTTTGAATAGGGATGCTTGACAAGTGTTTTTTTTTGTTGTTATTATTGTTACCTCCTTGAAGTTTTATGTTTTGTAAGGAGTGGCTCCCCCCATTATCTGACTTTTTACTGTAGTGTTTGAATTTTTTTGCCAAATGTATTACCTTTATTTCTTCAAAACAATAAAAGTTCCAAATATTCTCTTAAGTTATAATTTGTCATGATTGTTTGGAATTACAAATTTGAATTTTACATTAGATTCAAGTGACAATTATTTACCGAATTTTAAAGTTTAACTCATGGAAAAAGTCCTCACCTTCTACACAGATTTTACTTTGAACATGAAAGTAGTCATATGAAATGATTTTCTTCCTGTTCTTTGTGTGTTTGTGTGGATAATATGTCTACAGATTTACGAGTTCATAGCTAAGTCCTAAACTTTCATATCTTTAATTTGAAGGGTAGGAATCGGATCCACATTGTTAAAGAAGAGATTGATTGGCCTTTGTTTAATGGATGCATAAATTTGAATTCTGTTTTAGAATTATGAAAACTGACCATAAGTCCGTATCATAATGTAGCATTGACTCAATCATTGACTAGTGAAGCAGGTGTCTAATTAAAAATGTAAACTCTAGTAGGTTGAGGCTGTGGGAGTATTTTCTTCTTCCTAATTCATTGGCGAGCTCCAGCTCTCAGGTATGCTGGTCAGGCACCTCTTGGGCCTCCACACAGAGGGCCAGGCTGTCCCAAGAAATGGAAAATTCTCTCTGAAAGGTTGGAAGAAGAGGCCGTTTTGGCTCTTGACCCCTGCGATTCTATAGTATTCCAGATTTTAGCTTGCCGAGGAAAACATTTCTGTCCCACTGCCGCTGGGGCCCACTGGATCACCAGACATCAGGAGGTGAACTCATTTTGTCCTCATGTGCTTTTTCTCAGCATCACTTTTCTTGTAGAGTGCTTTTGATTTTTGTTTTGTTTTGTGTTTGGAAGGGGTAGAGGATGTTGGTAGGGATGGAAAGATGGGGAAGGGGAGTAAATGAATAAGTGAAGTTGGAGGAAAATAAACTTTGAATTAATGTTGATATTGCCAGTAAAGTTAATATTTTCTTAGGAGAGAACAAGGCATCTTTGCTTTTAGAAAAATAGCAGTTGCTGAGGATTTCATACTATTTTCAAATTAAATGCTTGTTTCTTTTTTAAAAAATTAATTTATTGGTACATTTTAGGTGTACAATATAATGACATTCATCATTGGAAATTTGCACCTTTACATAGTCTCTCTTGGTTCTTATTTTTCACCCTTGCCCAGCCCTCCCTTCAACCCCTCCATTCCTCCCTGTTTACAAAGTCTTTGGTGCCATTTTTGCTCATATTAATCCCATTCCCTTCTTTCCTTCCCCCTACCCCTCCCAGTTCCCTTCCCCTTCGCACCTTTTCTTCCTGTTTCCATCATCGATCATACCTTTTAGTCCTTATTACACTTTCAAATGCTTGCTTCTTAATGGGCTGTTGTAATATGCTCTGATTTTTCTCCATGCATGTGACATGTATCTGTATTTGATGGGTGAGACTCTAGTTTGCCAATTTATATTCTAAAAGCAAATAATCTACAGTTTGCTAAGGTGTCGATCAAGACTCAGAGCAGGGTTACTTGTATGTATGTTTTTGGGATATGAAACCAAAGTTAGACATTTATTGTCATAATGAACTATTTCATTGATTTGCATAATGTTGGTAGTCATAAATAGGAGCAGTATGCACATTACTGTAAAACCTGAGAAATGGCATTTTATGACTGTCGGATCTAGGCCTTGAAATCTAAGAAGCTTATAGTTCTTTTCCTTCTCTTCTAATAAAGGTATTTTATAAGAAGGAAGTAGGAGCTGGGACAGCAATAAAAGAGACTCCGGAGATTGAACGAGTGAAGAAAAATCAGCAAAATATTAGTTCAGTAAGTTCTCCATAGCATTAATTAGCCTTTCCCTAAGCAAACAGAAACTCAGGAAATGTTCTTAGCTCTTTGCTCAGCAGGCTACTTTTTCTTTTATTCTTCAATTTACTGAAATATGATTTCATCAAATATCAAAGGTCTAACTTTCAGAATGGAAACTATAGCCTTGTTCCTCACGAACCTGAAGCAGCATTTCATTTTGATATATCAGAGTATAGAAGATGTAGGTCATCCGAATGAAATCTAGGGTTACATTTCATCTTTTTGAACACAATTTCAACTGTATTAAGTTTTGCAGAAAAAGGATACCTTTAGTGCCTCTCCACAGCTTGGAGAAAACTTTACCCTGGCAGAATGATTAAATCCCCCAGGACATTTATTTGGTGGCTTAAAGGAAAGTTATAGATTTAAAAAATATATAGTACCAATTCATTTTTACCCTATGTCAGTTACATTTCTGAGCTTCCTTTTACAAATATTTCTGCTTATGTTTCTGGTTTTCATCGTTTTTTGTCTACTTCTCTCACTAATAAAAAAAACCACATGCTTTTACTAGAAATTATAAAATAACTTACCCTCCAGTTACTTTTGAACTGAGGGAAGTGTAGGAGAGGGAGTTAATGTTATAAGTAAAAATTCCTTTGGTTCAAGGCTTGACACTGTTACCTTTACCAATAGCTGTTCTTACATGTGTATTTAGAATCGTTTCTTGTTGAGGAAATTAAAATGATTCTTTCCTTAAACCCTCTTTCCTGACTTACCGCGTCACCGTCACCTTGGAGACAGTACTTTCTAGAACTTTGCTTTAGGCGATGCTAGTAGAACTGCCTAGGTGCCACTCCTCTGAGGGTAACCCTGACCCTTAAGTCGCATCTTGGGAGAAAGAGTGCGTGCCTGCATTTATGGCGAGTGTAGGTGGGGCAAGGTGATGCTATAGTAAAACACTTTAAAGTGAAACTGTAAGAATTCTGTTTCCTTCACTTCCAAGTGATAATGTCTGAAATGTACCTGTCAGCGTTCTCAGATATAAATGTTCTGCAGTGTGGAGTCCTAGAGCCTACAGTCAAATGACTGGGCCATCTTGATTGGTTTAGGGTCCTATTGAAAATGAAAATATCCATCTTTAATGGTGCTGAGCTTCCCACCGGAGGAGAATCACACAAAGCAGCACAGAATATCATTGCTTCTCCCAGCATCCCACAGCCTCTTCTAGCAAACAGTAAATGCATGGTTCTGTATCTCTGAGGTTGGGCCATAAAGGCCTGTTTAGTATTCAAATGGAAAGTTGCCCTTTTGAAGATTAGGCAGATCTGTCAAACCAAGAAGTGATTCCCTAACGTTTAAACATCTCGACATTTTCCACATCTGAGAACTAGCCTTTTTGCTATTAGCTCTCTCTGCTAAGAACTGATTTGGAGTTTTATTTAGAAGTGCCCTGTCTCCGTTTCAGTTTAACTATTTTGGATGTGGACTAGTACAGTACTAGCAGTGTTACTTGTATTAAACCCTCAGATCCTGAGGCGTAGTTGATATCTGAGATGTTGAGGCTCTGGGACTTTATGACAATCAGTGTAGATGTCAGCTTTACTCATTTTAAACATTTTCCAATGATTTCTAAAACACATTTTATGGAGGTTTAAGTCTTTGCTAAATTTCAGCAAGTCTAGTATGCGTCCTTTTCTTCTCCAAGCCCCGGTCTTCTGTGAGTTTTAGATGTGTGAACAAACACCCTGAAGTGGTGACCTCGTTAATCATGTGGAAAGGGCAGACAGCTGCATCTTGTCTCGTCCTGTGTGTCAGCGTGTACTGGCGTCACCAGCGGTCTGGTTGATGTTCCTCTAAACAGATTGGAAGGGAGATTGGGATGAAGTGGTTGCCAGGCCCCAGCAGGGCTCTACATAGCAGGGCTGAGGGGTAGAAGACATTCCTGACTCTCTGGCAGGGCTTTTCCTGGGGGGTCAGGATATGCTGGACTGCTTTCAGTACCTTTCCCCCAACTCCATTTTTCTCTTCTTTATTTGTGCTCACTCCATTGTCTCCCCTTACTATAGATTATTTGTATGCTCTTGGATAAACACCATTCCCAAGATTCTATGGGCTGCTTCAGTTTGACTTTTGCCTTATACTCATGGTAAATCATAATTAACGTATTAATAGAAAATGCTTTTCAGATAGGAAAGAAGCCATCACTTTATTTAAGATAATTTCCAAGGTTTCTGGTGCATTTGCTTAATGATAAAATTTATGTTCATAATAAGCAGCATTTGCTTATTTTAATTAAAGAACTCTTCTAGTTATGGATAGGTGAATAGATATGAATTTATTTGTACTTGAGGATAAAGAAATCCTGAAAGCGTCAGATAAAATAAAAAAATTGTGTTCCCACTGAAGGAAAAGCAATGTTAACATTTAAAAATTTTCATTACACAATAGTTACTAATAAAGAAATTCTTAACTACTTTAAAGATGTGGGTAGACTACAGTCAACATTTTATTTTTATAAATTATTCAAGTGAAATACAAAGAAGAGATTAAACATGCAACAGCCATTTCTAATCCTTCAGAGCTAATGAGAATTAAAGAAAACCTGAGGAATGTGAGTAATGTGGTCATTTTTCCTTGAGTATTTCTTCTATTTTATTGAATACCAGTATGTAAAGAGGACATGACACCTGCCCAGGTAAAATCCCATGACAATGAAGACCCCTGCAAGGCTTGTCCTTAACAGTGGAGCGGGCACTTGCTGTTGACTGTCTAGTCTATTCTTGTTCTTGGAAGAATTAAGAAATGTAGGGCTCAGGCCTGTGAGTGTTCTCAAGGCCTTGAGGAGAAACAGACATGGAATGCATAACAGTTAAGCATTGTTTAAGCGCCACCATGATAGTCAGCATTACCGGGTACTTACTGTGCTTTTTGAATACAGTACTTTTTAAAGTGCTTTTCAAGTGTTGTACTTGGTTACACACACTTTTTTAGTCACGAGTAATAGTCCCTGTTGCAAAGTGGTTTAAAGGCAGAGGATGGCTGTGTTGGGGAAAGAGGAGGAGAAGTGGAGAAGGGGCAGCCCCGGCCGTTAGATCTTGAGGGATTCATAATGGTTTGGGGTGGATTTTGTGGGAAGAACTCTCCTGGCAGAGCAAACTGAGTATGTGCAGGACCCAAGCCTGCTCAGAGGAGAAGACTTATATGAGACAGTGACAAGAGATGACAGTGCATGGAGAGGTGACACAGTTCAGAAAGATGCAGTGCGGAGTCTCTCAGGGTCACCACTGCGACATTCAGAAGATGTGGCCCTGCCAGTGCTCAGCCCCTGACTTAGTGACCATGCTGTTTTAATGTGTGTCTTCTATAAGAAGAGTTACTAGGCTTCAATGAGGGTAGAAATTTACACTCCACTAAAATAACTGTATCTGAAAATAATAGTTTATTTAATGAAAAAGCAGTGCTAAATAACAGCGCGTCTGGTATGGCAAATGGAAATCGGTGTGCCAGTGGCAGAAACTCGGGAAGTTTAGATAACATGGAGTGGTGGAAAGCAGTGTACACCCTCAGCTCTTGGTTGCTTTGGTCTCCAGACCTTACTTCGTAACCACCAACCTCTGGAAACCTTGAGTCCTCATCTATGAACCAGGGGTTAGAGTGTGAAAGAGCCATTTCCTGTAAGCATGTGGGGGTCTGTGAATGCAGGATTGCATGAAGTGAAGATTCTGTCTTTCAAATCGATGGCCCCAGGATTATATCCCCACTGGCTACAAGAGTTTCTCCATGTCAATAATGCCATTCAAGATTTCTCCTCTGAGAACTGGAGAAATCCTTGCATCTTGCTACCAGTAGAGATTAAACTGAAATTTCCCTCACTTTAACTCAGGGAGGCCACCAGTAAATAATACAGTTTGAAGAATAACCATGAAAGGTTAATTTAAACATTTGACAAGGACAGGCTGAGTCATTGGTGTCACCAAGAAGATGAAATCTATTAGCCATCCATTCTCCATTGTTAAATCCTAATGGAGATTCACTGATGAATGCTCTGTGGCCCTGTGACATTTCTTTCCATCTGTTCCCATGAATCGGTACATATTTATTTCCCTTAATCCAACCTGTCCCCCGTCTTGTCCCCCAGCTCCAGTATAAAGAACAAAGCTATAAGGCCACACCGGTAAGCGTGACCCCAGAGATAGAGAGAGTGAGGAGGAACCAGGAGCAGCTCAGTGTGGCAAGTAGTTCGTTTTCTTTGATATTTTATCTGACATTGTGTATTTTTATTTTTTAAAAAATGCTTTATGCTAAGCTTTAAACCCTCCAGACATCTGGATCCTCCTTTACACATTCACTCATTGAAAGGCAAGACCTGTGACTCTCACACCAGCCCAGAAAGTCTGGGACAGTGGTCACTATAATTTAGCAACCAGAAGTTCTCCTGTAAGTACCCAAATGTGTCAGGCATTGTCCAGATCATTGGGACAAAAAGCTGGATAAGATCCATCCTGTCCTCACAAACCTTATGGTTTATTGGCGAACCTCTAAAACTATGTTCAGATAAGGACCTGGAGAGAGAAGTCTCTTACCCATTGAAGCAGAAGAAAATATTGATGGGGAATAGGGCAAGAGAAGCCCGGGCTTGATTGGCATTTGAAGACACAGCATCAGGACTAGGAACCTTGGAAATGAAATGGAAAACGTTAATCATTCAATGATCTGTTGCAGTGCTGGTTAATAGTTATGTGCAGCTCTGTCAGGGGCTGGGCCCTGCGTTCATGTTTTATGTGAATCCAGAAGTTCAGCTCTATTCCTCTCTCATGGGTAAATGTGGGAAACTGAGTCAGAGCACATGCCAGGGATCCACAGCTGGTAAGGGGCGCCCTGTGATTTGAACCCAGGCCTCCTGGAATCCTGAAATTTTTTCATGCTGCTCCCAGATAGTTATTTTTCTCATTTTGTGACCCTTTTATGGAGCTTGAAAAAAATGACCCTTTTCTTCCAAAGCAGATAATTTTGAAAGACTTTAAAATTTAAGAGCAAATTCCTCCAGGTAGAGGAGAAAATCAAGCCCCACATTGTTTATCCCTCCTCTATTCCTGGAAGGTGGAAGCTCCAGGGTCAGAGGGGAGTAAAAGACCCTCCCAGGCTGCCATGTGGATTTCATTTTAGTTTTATCATCATGAATTTGTTCTGCTGTTTATTTTCAGCATACTCCCTTGGATTTCTGTTGTTGTTATTTATGTAATTTGCAATTAGTTTGAACATTGAACAACATAGTGTTTACCGAAGACTCTTTTTAAACAGCACAACCAAGAGCATTTGTTAAATCAGAATAATCAAAATCTAGGTGTCCATACCAATAGGAAGATTAATGTAGAGCTATTGTGATAAAATGTGTGCAAAAATATGGGGTGAACTCTGAGACTCACCCTTTGTGGTATTCTTTACACAGAGTCTGTTCTGCTATCTATTAAAATTCTTTTTATTCTCCATAGGTCAAATACAAAGAAGAGATTAAACAGGCAACTCCCATTTCTGATCCACCAGAGCTGAAGAGAGTGAAAGAAAACCAGAAGAATATCAGCAATGTGTGATCATCTTAGTAACTTTTTCCGATGATAGCAAATGTAGAGTCAATATGTAGAAGCAGGGTTGTTGTACAATATTGTCCCAAGTTTGAGTCCATATTTCTGACCTCACTTGACTAACAATGGATTTGGAAGGTTCTGGGGTCTTGGGTGTTTCTGAGTCCCCAGCACCACACCATGGGGATTGTGTTCCCTCCAGGTTGTTGTGTGTCTTCCTCATCTTGTCTTCATGCTGGTAACTGCTTGGTACCCCAGTGGGAAGCTTCTGGGATGGTGGCCTTACAACCACGCTTTCCTGCTCCCCGTTCCAGAGTAGGAAAGCTCCTGTGTTCTTGTTCTCCAGTCTCTCCCAGCCCCACCTGCCAACCTCAGGGATTATTACTGTATTTCTGGGCAGTGTTGGGGAGAACCGCTAAGTATATGTGGTTGAACACCTCGTGTGAAACAGGGCCAATTTAGGGATACGGCAAGAGGTTGTCAGTTTCTCCTATGACACTGACTCGTGGCCTGCTCTAATTCCCTTTTGTTTATGTAATCCATGCATGCAGCTCTCTGAGACTTCTTTTTGGAAGTCATGAACATGCAGGTTGGGTTCTTTGGAAGAGGAAATTTGGGAATGTATTACTTTCAAAGAAATCTCTTATTATTCAAACCCTTCAAGTCATTTGACCAGTTTATGAACAACTATATTTTGGAGGAGTAGATGTTCATCTTTCCCCAGTGGATCTAAAGTCATGCTCAGGATGACTGTTACTCTCAGAAACGAACATGCTCATTGAAAGGAGTACACCCTTATATGTGAGAGCATCCCCAGAGATTCTGACAAAGATGCTGTTCTAGGATGCAGTGAAGTAGATGCTTTAAGATGCAAGCGCTTTAAATATGATCAGACCTCCAAGAATATCCTCTTTTTGAAATAGTTTCCCTTCCTTGTCTCTTTAAGAATAAATACTGTGCTTGCTTTGGCACCACATATACTAAAAATAAATACCATGAGACTCTTGTTTAGTTGAACTGATTCATAGTTCTCTACCTTTTGTTTTCTGAAATGATAGGTTTATTACAAAGATCAGCTGGGAAGAGCTACAGCTTTGAGTATAACTCCCGAAATGGAAAGAGTGAAGAAGAATCAAGAAAATATTAGCTCGGCAAGTGGTTTTACTTATTTTAGACAATCACAAAGGATGTGGCCTTTATAATTTACCTACAGTCCCTTTTCTTCTTTGTGAGAATGAACTTGTGGTATTTCCAATTAAGTACATGTGTTGTTTCAGATGACTTCCAAAAGCCACCACTGTATAAATTTATGTTATTCTGCAACCCTTCAGAAGTATTTCCAGATGTGACTGGCAAATTTAAAGTTTATTTAAATAATGATTTGTGTTGCTTTAGCCAGTATCTTTGAAAATGATAAAGTCTTTTTGGTATGTAAGTTAAATAATTGTCATTTTACTCATGTGTTTCATTGAACATGGCTTGTGAAAGACTCCTTGCAAAAGAAAGTAGGAAACGAGTCATTTCTCCAAAGTAAGGAGTTAGAGGGGTAAAAATAGGTAATATAGCTTTGAGTTCCTCATGAAAGTTATTCGTGGTGCACATCTTCTTTAGATAATATGCTTTTTCTCAGTGAATATTCAGTTTTCTGATGATGTTCTGATCTTACACATAATTAGCTGCCTGAGAGGCAGTGTCTTAATGATCAGTGTCAAGAACATAGGCTCTGTTTCTGGCACTCCTGGGATCGGTGTTTCAGGTGCATAGTTTTCAGCTCTCTCATGGCATTTCTGTCTGGAGATACCGGGTGTATTCAGCATAAAGTACCTCTAAGCTTTGGTTGCTTAGAAGGAAAATTGGATTTATTCCTCATTGTTTCTCATTCTCTAAGGAGGGAAAAATAAAGAAAGAAGGTGGTATGCACCTTTCAACATTGTTGAAGAAGAAAATGGGGAAATTTAGAAATAGAAAATAAACTCAGATTCTATTTAATTCTGGACACTCCCTCTTTAAATATGAGAACCAGTTTTACTGACGGCGCTGCTAGTGACTGTCAGTTGCACACATTTCTTTTCAGTTGCTAAAGAAGTTTAAGACATGTCCACAATAAACTTTAAGGGAGATGTACAATTGTAGGTTGGTGTTCTAGAACAAAATGTAATTCACTGAAAAGTTACCTGGAAAATGACTGGAAAAACTTACCTGGAAAATATTGTATAAGTTTCACTCATTTGGAAAACTTTTAAGTCATATAATTTTTATTATACTTATCCTATTACAATTGTGTCTACTTTTTATTTTGCAGGTAAAATATACCCAGGACCATAAACAGATGAAAGGTAGACCAAATCTGATTTTAGATACACCTAGTCTGAGACATGTTAAAGAAGCACAAAATCATATTTCAATGGTAGGGTACAACCACATCTTTCTTTTCATGACTTAAACATACTAAGGAATGACAAGACCCAGTATATCGACGGCTTTAGTTCACTATTAACCTGGACAACTAACAAAGCACGGAATCTTGAATGAGCCTTTTGTTTTGTTTTGTTTTGTTTTGTTTTGTTTGGGGAGGGTACTTTCTAATCACATTGAAATGTAATGAAGCTGTTAACACTAATAAAATAATTTTTCTCTGTGACTTTTTTGGTGTGTTTTTATTTCTAATGTGGTTACTATAAATGCATTTTGTGAAGACATTTGAGTAGACCTTTTTCCAATTAATTTTAAGACAGAGTTTGGTGTATTTGCATGTTTTAAAAATATGAAAAATACATTTAAAAATTTTAAAACTACTTTCACGAGATCTAATTTACCTATCATAAATCTAACCATTTAAAGTATTTAGTTCAATGTAAAGGAATAATATAATTTACAAAATGCTACAACTATTGCTCTGATCCAGTTTTAAGCCATGAGAAAATGTGTGTTTCACAATATCTATAGATGTTTTGTAGTTGTATACTAAACCTGTAATATCATTACCTATACCTCCCAGTCTAATTTTAAGTAAGTTGCCTTGAATAATTGTGGATAAATGCTTATTATATTATTTCATATTAAAGATTAACAAGAAGTTAATTTGTAGTTGAATTAGCATATTCTAGGAATGAAGATTTTAAGCTATTTATCTTTTACAGCTTCTCACTGATACACAAGTTTATATATAATTTAAAAGAAATACCAGAATGATTACAAGCATGGTGAAACTGTCAGCACTTGATCTAACGTTCTTTTGGGATAACTGGAAAAGATACATATATGCAGAAAGTAATCTAGATGCACCTGTCATTTTATCCAAATTGTGTGAGACAAGTAAAAACCGGGAAATTTCAGTTTGAATTGATATTGTTTTTTTCTTCTCCAGGTAAAATATCATGAGGATTTTGAGAAGACGAAGGGGAGAGGGTTTACTCCTGTTGTGGACGACCCTGTGACAGAGCGCGTGAGGAGGAATACCCAGGTTGTCAGTGATGCTGCCTACAAAGGGGTCCAGCCTCACGTGGTGGAGATGGACAGGAGACCTGGGATCATTGTTGGTAAGCAGGGGTCCTCCTCGGCAGGCAGATGTGGCCAGCAGGATGTGCTTGCTCTTACACTAGGTCATCTGAGTCCTCATCTGATGTTTGGTGTGTGCTTAGTTCCAAATGGATGGCAGGTAAGTGTTATTTTGGTACCATGTTGGTGACATTCATGGCATTCACCAGTTGTCATCAAAGCTTTCTATTCTTGGAAGTTCTCTGTGCTTAACAGCTTTCAAGTCTTAAGAATTTATCTACTTGTTAAAGAAGCAGTGCAGAGCTGGGTGATCACAGCAGTGGAACAATTATTTTGTTTTTCTTTAGGTTGTTTTCTTAGTTAAGATGTTATACCATAGACATCATTGCATGGGTGACAGAAATAATCATGGCACATTTAGGTCCTTTTACCATGAGCAGTCATGCCAGAGAGATTCTGATGGCATACCAGAAAATGAACCACTTAGGTGTTTTAAATATTATTTCTGAGCTGGAAAATTGAGAGGCATCTGAAAGTCTCATAATTTAGATAGCAGCCTTCCCTTCCTGCTGCTCTCTGTTCCTTATAATCTATCAGGGAAAACCTAGGAGGATGCTGTTGACTGTGACCGAGAGATTTGCAAAGATCAGACTCAAGTATACAGTAGGGGAAGGAAGGAAAAATACTGATTTCTCAGTAACATCAGCAACGCTTGACTATTGCCTCTTTTAGAGCAGTTAGTCCTAGAATGTTTATAGCCACTCCAACTGTGTAGCTCAAAGAATATTTGCAATAACCCTGGTATACAGCTCTCATTAAACTCAGGGTTAGATTTTCTTCATCTTCAAGAGATGCATTGGGTGGGGAGGAAGGCATATATTTGACAGGGTCATATCTTAGTGCAAAACAAGAATACTAATGTCAGAGCACTAAGTGACTTCAATGATTGCCAGAGTGACTCTGAAAGTATTTTACAAGGAAAGAATCCAAATATACTTGTAGGCAATTGATGGCTTTGCTCATCTCCCCAAATTGATTACTTAAAAGGATCACATTCTATTGGATGTGTGAATTGTCCCATTTTCATTCAAAGCCACAAAGAAGTGGAGAGCTTCATTGCTGGGAGCTAAGGTGTCAGTGGGAAGAGTACAAAGGTCTAATTCATCTCACCAGGGTGAGAGTTTACCCAGGAACAAGGGTCAGGGACCAGCCCTGATGGTGAGACCATTGCTGAAGACCACGGAACTCTCTAGATTCAGTACCTATCACCTTTGAGATTACTGTTTTTCAAAGTATAACCAGCTTTCTTTGGAGACTTAAGGTACAGAATGAAACACATTCAACAAACATTAAACTCTCCAACTAACCAGCTTTGGTACCAGGTATGGAAATGTAAACTTAGAGATTTTCTAAGCAATGTAGGCTAAGACAAATTGTTCTGCTTTGTTTTCATTGGAGGTGCTGCTACTTACAAGTCAGGTAACCTTGGGTAACTTTGGCCAAACTATTGAATCTCATTGTGTCCCACTTTCCTTATCCATAAAATAGGGATAATAATAGTACCTACTTTAATATGTATGAAGCTTAAATGAATTAGATTGCAACTGGCATATAATAAACGCTGAATATTAATTAAAAACTGACAAGCAAATCTCCAGTTTCAGTTTACTAATGAATTATTTTCCCTCTCACCTCATTTCTGCCATTTGTCCTTAACTAGGTTCGTATTTTCCAGTTGTACAGCACTGTGTCACTCATTGTAGATCCTGATACCCATTAGTTGTGGTTACTGATAAATTCAGAAATTATCAAATCAGTCTATGTTGTCAGCTTTCTGTTGCTGTGACAAACTATCTCAAAAAATCACTTAAAAGGAGAAATGGATTATTTTGGCTCAAGGTTTCCGAGGTTTCAGTCCATGGTTAATTGACCCGGTTGCTTTGGGCCTGTGGCAGCATAAGACATCATGTGATAGAGGAAGACTGTTGGCTGCATGGCAGTTTGGAAGCAAAAACAGAAAGCAAGGAAAGGTCTGGGGCCCCAAAACCACTTCAAAGGCACATCCCCAGTGATCTAACTTCCTTCCACTAGGCTGCACTTCCTAAAGACTGCACTACCTCACAGTAGCTCCACAGGCTGGCCACCAAGCCTCTAGCCATGAGCCTTCAGGGGACATTTTGGGTCCAGATACCAGTAGCAATCTGATCACGGGCTGCAGCAGTGACCTAATCAGTAGCCCATTAAGAGCAGGAAGTTGCTCCTATTCTTCATTCCATCTCTCATCATTCCTTGCTGGATGCCTCACTATCAGCACTGTTTTGACAAGTGGGTCTTCTGTGGCTTCACTTGCTCACACACTCAGAATGAAACCTGGGTTTGCCATGTGCCAACATTTCCAATCTTTGTTCCTGATGTAGGTAGAGAAGTTGTTTTATTTGTTTTGTTTTAAACAACCATGTCTTGATCATTTTCTGTGAGTAACTCACATGGCTTTAGTCAGCAGCTTTTATCAGACTCTGCCTGCTTCAGTGGGTGGGGATCGAGAGTGAGTGTCAAAAGGGTGTCACAGGGTTGGGCATGTGGCACGCGTGATGAGTCGGGGGCCCCAGCAGAGCTTGGGATGGCAGCTCAAGGAACCCAGCAACTCAAATCTGATTCCCAAGTGTTCTTAGCAGGTGCACATGACAGCGAATATCCTTTTGTTCTCTTCTGAATTTCTCAGCATGGTGGATTTGCTTTTTGCATTTTTGCCTTTTGCTTGACTCTCTTTGGTACTGTTTTTTTAAAGCTCCGTCTTACTTGTTGATTTCTTCCTTTTGGTGAAAGACCTGAAAGTTTGGCGCACGGATCCTGGCTCCATCTTTGACATTGATCCCCTGGAAGACAATATTCAGTCTAGGAGTCTGCACATGCTCTCGGGTATCGCTTACATTTGGGTTCCCCTCCTCTGGTCCTAAAAGTGGAGCTACAGTGGAATACTGAAATGCATTGGGGCAATCATGTAATGTAAATTTTAAGATTGAGAATTAGGAAAACCAGAAAAGTACTCTGCCACTTTAAAATACTTTTTATTATTTATGAAAGCAAAAACTTACAAAAGAGTTCTATAATAAATCCTAGATTAGTTTGTCCCAGATTCTTTTAAAAAGATGTGTTGAGCTTGCTTCCATTTGCTTTCTATTAGTGAATATGATTTTATAGGCTTTCTGGGGTTACAAATGCATTTATTTGGATTGCACAAAGGTTCTGGGACATAAAGGAGAGTTGTTTCATGAAACAGAATGTAACAATATTAGACTTAAAGAATGACATAGCAGTAGAAATGTTTTTTATACAGCATCATAAATGTCTTAAAATGAAATAAACTTAAGTATTCAAAATTATTTTGGAGTTTTTATTTAATGTAAAATGAACACTTTCTATAGGAAGCACATAGGACTTTTAACTGAACATGTATGTAAAGGCAAAAAATGAATCGTTTGGGTAAAGTGATAACGTGATTCACCATTTTGGGCGTTGAGACTATCTTTAGAAAATAAAGTCTGAAAAAGTATTGATAGTTATGTAGATCTTTTAAATGATATAAATACTCTATATAATATCACTAAATTCTTGTTATACCCTCTGATTTTACTCTGTATTTACTTGTTAATAAAACTGAATGCCCAAAGCAATGATTCTAATACTTTAGTTAATTTGATCCACATAGCCAAATTATATCATTTTCTAAAACTAAGAAAAGGCAACAAATACTGTGCACTTGACATTTGAAAGCAACTTTTAAATAGCCAGATGCTCTGTTTGTTAGAAATATATGAGTTTGCCAGTGTTTCCATGTGTTTTGCCAATTTCCTATCCCCTAAGCTCTCCTTTAAAATCTAGATTTGGAACAAGGTAACCTTTCAGTCACTCCCAAAAGCATGCTGAAGTTTGAGAGTAGGTGGCTAGAGCTCTATGATAGATTTGGAGATATTATTTAAGAAGGGAATGCTTTTCTTTCCTGATAAGCTCTTAAGTAATCCTGTTACTCTTCAAGTCACTTAGTCACCTGTCTGAATATCTTCCCTCCCATGTAGAAAAGGCGAGTCTCTATAGGAGACACGGGTCTCGATCTCACTCCAGCAGTACCTTTGGTACGGGTCTGGGAGACGACAAGTCAGAAATCTCCGAGCTTTACCGTAGCATTTCATGCTGCAGTGAGGTAACAAGACCGTCCGATGAAGAAGGTATCGAACTGTAGCCACTTACAACGGACATGAATTCACTTCTAAATGTGCCTGCCACGGGACTGTCTTTAACACATTTTTCACCTTTGCACCAACATTCACCCTGGATGTGTTTGAAAATTTAATGCTCAGTTTAAAATATGAAGAACTTCTTAAGCTACTAATGTGCATTTTTGCATGTTATTTTTTCCTGCAAGTGGATCTTTAATAATAAAAGTGAACTTGCTATGGGAACTGTTTTACAGTTGCATGAGATAGATCCACACAGTCACATGGAAACTTGAGTTCTGTGTAGTTTGTATCTGATTTCCATTAAGGGAAAATATCAATCTTATGGTAATATCTGAGTGGCTAAGAGGTTGTTATGACTTGGTGAGTGTTTAGACATTGATATAAATTGCAGTCAGACTTAGATCTTGCCACAAAGAAACTGAGTGTGATACTTGTGATGTGAGATTTTTTTTAAAAATGGGAAATACTTATCATGGGTAATATTCTTCTTTCTGTTGTTTACCCACCCTTTTCTGCACCTTCACCTCTTTTCTGCACCCAAGCTTATGGATTAGTTCTAGAACTTTCAGTGAATTTCTGCAGGATGTTAAACTGAGCTGGTATTACGGTTGTAAGTCCACTGTGTGCACTGAGGGAGAGCAGCAGGACTGAAGGGCATAAGAACAGCAGGAATATGAATTTCCTTGTCAACCACAAAGGCCAGATTGCTGAAATTCCTAACGCTGGACACCTCAAGGTTGAGAAACTTAACAGTTGGGGACAAAAAGTAATGTTCCTTGAAGACTTGAGGAAACTATGGAAACTTGTAGTTATGTAACCATTTTCTGCATTCTTTGCAATGGCTTGCTAATAAGCGTAAAATCAGTTATCATCTGTGCAGTTTGAACTATGTGAATTTCTGCATGTTTTGAATTTGGACTGGCCTTGGTGTGTTAGAAGGTTTTTTTCTCTAATTCTAAAGAAATGGTTATAAACTAGTTTAACGTTAATGTAGATGAAACACACACAAGGAGACCTTCCCTTTCTGTGTCTGGTTATCTAATGAAGGGTTCAGTTAACTTCCTGATTTTTTTAAACTTGGGATTACTACTGATCTTTTTCTTTACAGTCCTTCCTGGTTCTGGAAGTGCAGAATAATCTTGTTGCTTGGTGAGACAAATAAACCCAAAGCACTCATTTTGGTTAACCTTATTTAATATTACACAGTTGAGTCTGCCGCAGTAGATGTTTCTCCCACATGCTGAATGCCATAGAGTGGGGGTGGTGAACCTATGGCACGCATGCCACAGCGGGGATGCAGAGCCCTCTCTGTCGGCACAAACCAAGTCTCCCCAGCGTTGGCCCAGCAGCTGAGCATTGGATCAGTGCCTACAGGGGCAGCATTGGCACTTCGCCATAAATAAGTGGGTTTTGGGTTGCAGTTCGGGCACTTGGTCTCTAAAAGGTTCTCCATCGCCGCTGTGGAGTCTGCTCAGCCTTTTCCTTCACATCTGTACACAGCAGCACAGTGTTCGTTCATCCATTTACCAGACGTTTGTTGAGTGCTCTTTGTACACTGGCCAAGAGCTTGGATCTGCAATGCATATGGCAGCGAGCAAAGGAGAAATGCAGCTGCTGTGAGGGGCTCAGCATCTGGCGGGGTCTCTGACACTAAGCAGATGTTTACACAAGTACTATCCATTATGAGCAGCGTCAAATGATGGGAAAGGGGCTACAAGATGTGTAAAAGAGCAATTCTGTCTGGCTTTGATGTCAGGGAAGCCTTGTTTGGGGGGGCAATGTTTGAGCTAGGAGATTTAATGCTCCCAGGGGCTCAGGAGGAAGATGTTGCTGATAGAACAGGGCGTGGCAATGATGTGTCAGTAGGGCATTCGGATGGAGGTGGTAGGTAGGCAATCCTAGTGCTGAGGAGAGGCTGCGCTGCAGGTAGATTGGAAGTCACCTTCCAAGCATATGACCTTGGGAGAAGAATCCGGTGCCATCTCCTACAGATACCTTGCCTGCAACCCAGCCATGAAACCAGGTACCCTGTCTCACTGCCTGCTCTTCTCCAAGACTGTAAAACGCACTGCTGATTTTTTTTTTTTTTGAGACAGAGTCTTGCTATGTAGTTCAGGCTGCCTTTGAACTCACTGTGTAGCCCAGGCTGGCCTCCAACTCAGAGTGGTCCTCCTGCCTCAGCCTTCCAAGAGCTGGGATTACAGGTGTGTGCCACCACACCCAGCAGTTTTTATATCTTCTTCCTATTCTCTGACCACCATTCTTTTTTTAAAAAAAATTAAGTTCTATTTTTAGCAAGAGAACCCTATACTAAAGTGAATCTAATGAGAAAATGTCTCTATTAAAATATAAATAAAGGGCCAGGTATTTAGCTCAGTGGTTCTGCTGCCTGCCTTGCAAGCGCAAGGTTCTGAGTTCGATCCTCAGTATAAAAAAATTATATATATATATAAAATATTCTTGCATGTGTGTTAGAAATTGAGTAGCATAAGTAAGAGGAACATTTTTAAAAATAGAAGAACTTCAGACTTCATGGAAGGTGGCGGGGGGCAGATTTTCAGCAGGCAGAGATGGCTCATGACTCAAAGAATGCTTTGCACAGCAAAGTTGACTTTTGGGAGGCATTTATAAGTTTCTATCACTCGCAGTCCCTTGTTACAAGGCCAAGACGCTCTGTCTTTAGTGACATTTCCTGGTTTTGAAAGTAGATACTGAAGTATGAAGTTAAGATGTGCCTGGAGCTCTTCTAACCTAAAAACAAACAGTGTCATCCTGGCAAGGTATCTGTGCTCCCTTGAGGAGACTTTAAGGTGCATGAAAATGTCCCCCTGATTTCATTCATTTTAAGTGCAGGAAGGTGTCCTCCAGTGACACCTTACGTCTGTATTCCGATGACTGGTGACATAACAAGCTCGATGCATTCATCTCCAGCTTCCTTGCCTAAATCTGGTGCTTCCCTGGGCTTCCCAGTTTATAAGTAGCACCTGCAGCCTCTAGGCACTGAAGCCAACCCCCTTAGAGCCGTGCTCAACGCTGGTCCTTTACTTATGCTGCACCTCCAATCTGTTCACAGACCTCTACCATGACAAAGATATCTAGAATCGGTTTCCTTGTGCCCATCTCTGCAGTCGCTCCCCGTGTATCAGCTTCTGCCATCTCACCTTGGCACCTCTCAGTCAGCTCCTAACTGGGCTCCTTTCTGCCCTGGCCACTCTGTGCCCAGACCCCTGGGCGATCTGTTGGCAGAATGATCCTTGGGGAGCTGTGGGGAGACTGAGGTCTCCCGCACCCCCTCTTAGTTCTAAGTGGGCAAATTGCCTCCAGCTGAGAACTCAACTAGTACAAGAGCTGATCAACAAGAGGAACACATAAAAGTTGTATTAATTTTACACATTCATGGAGATCTTTATAGGAGAAGAAAGTCTGAAGAAATGACCAAACATGATGCTTTTATCCCTTTTAGACAGAACAATACATTTGTAAATCGCTGATAGGACAAATGAAGATTTAGACTAAGGTAGTAAGGTCCAGGGTTGCTGCTGGGAGATGGAGATGGGGATGTGGAAACTAGTGGGGGGCCCCTTCGGACTTCGCCTATTCAGGCTCAGCCCCATCTGCAAGTCTCTGGTGATCAAGGCTATTTTCCAGCCTTGGAGTAGGAAGGACATTGCTCCCCAAAGCATCTTTAAAGGTTATGCAGGTAGGGAAGGTCAGGCCATGTGGGCCTTTCTAAAGTTACAGTGTCTCAGGTGACTTCAGGTGAAATAATCAGCAGACCAATTTGGCATATGTTGCCTTGAACGCCTTCACAACCCAAGTCAGATCACCTCACTCCTCTGCTGCCCTTTCCTTCTGAATATAACCCAAATCTCGCCACAGCCTGCACGGCCTTCATCTGGTCTTGGGCCCTGACTGCTGCTCAGCTCATTTCCCGGCATTCTCTGTGGCTCGCCCACTCCATCCAGTCTCCTCCCTTCATTCCCCCTTTCCAAGATGGCTCCTGCCCCTGTGGCCCTGGCTGTGGTACTCCTCTTCACCCTAAGTGTTTGTCTGCCCTGCGCCATCTTCTTCCTGTAGGAAGGAGGCTCTCTAACTAGCAGAGAGAAAATTGCACCCTCCTGCTACAGTCTGTCGCTCCCCAGAACCCAGTGCCACCTGAGATACTGTGTATGCATTTATCTGTGTGACCAGCTCTGCCCAATTAGGCCAGACCTTCAGCCTTGTCAGGTCATGGACTTTGGTACCTTTGTTTTCTGTTGTGTCTCTAGCTCTTGGAAAAAAGCATGCAGCAAGTATTTGGTGATGGACCAAAACAGCCCAATTAATATTTTCAAAACAAGAGCCACTCATATGAATATATATAAAATTATATATATGAAATTATATATATAATTATATATAATATTATTTTTGTGGGATAATATTCTTTTGTAGAAGCCCTCAAAAGTATTTCTTATACTTTTGTTTTGATATGTTTTGATAACATTAAAATAAAGCCGAAAGACCAACCTAAAATAGAAACATTCCCAGTGCCCCCCCAGCCTCTGGTGGGGAAGGGGAGCAGTGATATTGGTGACTTCCAGGAGTCTTTGAAATGTAGGGTCCCCTTTGAAATGCCTGCTCCTCAAGGCTCTGGTAAAGAGGTGCTGATTGACTGGGTAGAAAGAGACTGACGTGCTGACAGCTGTTTGATGGAAATCTCTGGTGTCTTTAGCAGTAACAGATAATCATAAGCATTTGTTTGAACTCTGCAAAATTGAAAAATATTTGCTAGCACCACTTGTTAGAAGTGCAATGAAGAAAAAAGAAAATGTTCCTGAGCATTTAGAAAGACTACGTTTTCTTCCAGATTTTGTCATTTCCTTTAAATTTAGGCAGGGATCTTGCAGGATAAAATGTGTTACGTTTGGTTGTCTCCGTGCCGTGGGGGCGACATGGGTGGCAGTGTCGTACTGTGATGGTCAGGACACTGACTGAGGGCACGCTAG